AGACCTACCACCTTCCTAGAGAAAGAGTAGAACAGGAGAGGGCAGGGAAGAGTCCTATAAGTACCTCAGCCGGTCCATCTGACATCCTCATTTTTCATGAGGATGAAGAGGCAAGAGTGTGAACAGATATTCTACCCTCCTACTGGGGTGGTGTCAAGACATTTCTGACCCTCTGCTGAAGCTCCACACAAGTCTCCCTGATACTTTTAAGCCACAGCAAAGCATCATCAGATGCCCGACTTCCCAGTAATTTGATAATTGATGGCTATTTGCCTCTTTCTCATAGCTAAATTGGGTTTGGGAGCCTTTTTTTTTTTTTTTTTTGGACGTCTGTTACAGAGTACAATTATTTTTTTCTGGTGCGACTTCCAGACAGTGTATAATTCCTAGATGCAAGAAGCATCTCAAGGGAAGGCCCATGCACACGTGGCTAACAAAGCTGCTAAGGGGATAATGGACAGAAGGAAAATAGTTTAAATCTTAACAGACAATTAGTTTTCAGAAGCTAACATATTTTTGAGAACACCCAATGACAGGGAAGAATAATAAAGAGCAAAATATAATTCAGTAAAGCCACAAAAAACAATTAAGTTTCCAACTATCATTTCAATGTTCCCTTAACCCTTGGAAAATTGAGGATGATATTGGACAATAAAATTTACATGCATTATACTCAATTATACATGTGTTAGAAACCACACAGTCCATTCAGTATTCTGCAGCAGCCAAGCCATGTTAATTTGAGCAAGCCTACAATCATGCATACAACCTGACAATCCTGGAAATTATCATTTCCATGGAAGGCAGCTCAATAAAAGCCTCCAGACATGCCTAGCACATGACTGACTCTACTCGGAGCTGGAATTCCTCTTCAAATACATCACCTTGAGAAAACAATAATAATCTTACTACAACAAAAAATGGCACATATTATTTCTACCATGGCCACATCCAATGAGATTGTCCAATTGTCTTGTTTAAAGAGATAATTTCATACACCAAAGATGCTAACTAGTTTGGAACTTATACACCATGCTGTGGTCTAAAAAAACATGTTATGAGGAGATAAAACCAAAACCAGCAAGATACAGAAATGTTACTGGCAGGTTTGATTTCCAAGTCCTTGTTTCAACCACATATAGATTTATTTATCCAATGTTACTGTAATTGAAATAGCGTGAAGTAAGTATAGCTAAGAGAAAAGACGAACTGTTTTGAAATACAAGGAAACAACTACAATGCTTTTATGTTGACACAGGGATTATATTTCACAAGAGGTATAACATTACATCCTCTGGTGAAACAAAGTCCAAATACCACAAGAAATACTACAAATTTTGACCAAAAAGACTACAAACATACAGAATTTATAGCATATTTATGTTTTGTCTCCTTTCTTCCAAAGTTTCCATTGCAGCTCGCCATAGGAATGTCAACAATTACTAAGTGTATCTTTTGCCATAATACTTTTATTATTCCGTTTGATGAAATTGACAGAATACAAATAATCCAGCACCTTGCAAAAGATACAAGTGAAGAAGTGAATACATATCTTGACTAGAACCAGACAAGGAGGGAAGAAAAAAGGAGTTTCATGTCAGAGCATGAAACAGGTATCTGTATTTCACTAGGTTCCCATTTTTCCTCTGCAATACTCTCTGGGCACATCTCCATCCACTACACATGTTTTTCTGGCCACATTCTTCAGTCATGTCTGAACTTGTTCTTCGAGCCCTCTACTTAGGGCAAGTCCTATTAAGAGGTGGGGAGAGGAGGGAAAATAAGTCTTCATCCCTTTCTGTTCCCTTCTCCCTCCCCACCTGTATGGCCAACCACACACCTCAGCAGTGCAGTGCTAAGATACCTGCTCAGGTACAGCATTCTGCCTCCTGCAAACCTCTGAGTCCTTCTCTTCTGGCTTGAAAGGCACCTGTACCAGAGAAGGTCTCCTTTATTTAATGACAAAATGAGTTTATTGCAGAGCTTTTAATAGAGCAATCCCCCAGCCAACTTCATTTCGCTAAAACAAGACTGTGAGATAAAATAAACATAATGATAAAAGCAAGGCAACCTAAGCAACATTCATTTTGCACACCCAAGACAGAGACATCAGGATGATTAGCCCAGAAGCGTGTACCAACACTTGCTTTGCAGAAGCCTTAGTCCTTGATAAGCACCAATTAAGTTCTTTCCTTTGATCAAGGAGCAAGATAAGATCCCATTTATGCCGCAAAGCTTTGATTGCAACAGCACACCATACACTTTGATTACCTGCACCTAACGACTAGTCTAAGAAACAGTCAAAAAAATATTTTGTCATTACAGTGGCAAAGAACATTCTTCATTCAAAAGGGTATATAGAGAAGCACATATAAGAAACTACTTAAGCACAGCATTGACACAGTATTATAACAGAATTCAGCCAGGTGCTGAATGCCTGACTGTAGACCAGAGTTAGAGGTCAGTGATCTGATCTCACAAATCAAACACAGATGCTTGGTTTTGTCCGGCACGTGTGATGCTTGATGAAAATTAGCTACATTTCATAATACCATAAATATCTATTTTAATAGGTAATGAGTGTTTCAAGCCAGCAAAACAGATCAGGCTGACTCAGTGTACCTCCTGCAGGTCCTCCAAGCTGTGAAATATTATTGCTTGTACTCTGAAAAGATGGAGGCAGGCATATAGAAACCCGCAGGCAATTTCCTCATGCAAAGGAAGCATGGCTCAGGGACCTGAATGATAGACTCAGACGCCAAAGTTATCCCACTCTGGTAACGAGAGCCCAAACGACACAAGGAATCTACACCAGGACTAACATCAGTCAGAGATCCACAGTCTAACAGCATTTTTATTTGAATCTCCTATCTCTTACTGGAGGCCTGTGAACAAACACACTAAAATCTTGAACTATCCCATCACCACAAGCAGCTGGGACCCAAAGAACTCCCATAAATGTGTGAGAAGTTGCTCTAGCAACCCCAGTTCAATTAACTCCTGTCCACCCTTCCTTTCCTCTCCTCAAATGTGCCTTGCCATTGTCACCTCACTACCCCCTCCTTTTGACAGGACTTATTTGGGGTGTGTGGAGGACAGAGCAAGGAGAAACATTGCAGATACACCATTCCTCTAGGAAGGCAAGACTTGACTATGTGACACCATGAGGCAAAGACAAGGTGCAAATTCAGAACAATATCATTGCTTCTATGGAAAATACACAATGGAAATCAACATCTTTCACAGAGGCCCTGTTTAGACTCATTTATTAATATGCCTTTTGTGTGAAGCATCAGTTAAAATCTTGTCCTAATATGATAGAGCAAAAACCAAAAACTGAGCAGTCTTGCCACCTCTTCTGCAATTCCCTAGCCGTGACCGGTCATCATCTGTTCAACGTTCCTGGAAGGAGCTCCATGACTTAAACCAGACAACTCAGATATTTTGATTTAAGAGCCAAAAAAGAACAAACACCACCCAAAAACCCCTCCATACTTTTGAGTACTTGATAATAGGTTGTATTCACACATCACTCATAACTGCAATTCATCCTGTAGCATATGTTGAGTAATAGCTTTTTGTTGGGGTCTTTTAATAAAGAAAATAAATCAAATCATCATGGCAAATTTCAACATACATTTTTATCCAGTGCCCTGTACTTAGTCTTCCTGTAGCTCTTGCAATGTGCTAATGAGTGTAAAAACAAGGAGAGGCATGATTCTCATTCAAGAAGTTTTGCATGCTGAAAACACAGGAAGAAGTGCAAGGAAGGAACACATAACAAGAGTTCTGAAAACCTAGAGCCCAAGCAATATTTCATTAAAAAATGAGGCTTTTCCTATAGAAGTCTCCAACAACAGATACAAATTACTTCCTGACCCTCAAGTTTTAAAGAAAGAAGGAGAAAAGCAGCCTGCACAGTGGCCAATTTCTGCACCTTCAACTAGGCAGTTTCAGTACATTCTATAAAGTTACAATCAACTTTCCACTAATGTCTATTGTGATTTTAGCTTTTAAAATGTTGCTTTTCCAGACATTACGCTGACAGTATTCAACTTTTAGACTTTCTGATGTTTGGTTACAGTAGTTTGAACAGCAATTTAATGTCAAATAAACAGAGCTGACTGTGAATATGAAAAGATCAAGGGGGAAAAATATCACAACGCACAAGCAGCTCAAGAAAGTGCAACACAGCAAAAACTATGAAAACGTGATCTAAACACATGAACACAGAGGCCAACTTTGATTTATGTTTTCATATGTATTCACTCAGCTATAACACATGAATAACTTTAGAACTGCAATAGTACAAACTTGTTGTGCAAGTTTTTACTTTGTTTCAGCCCACAAATAAATATAAATAGATTTATTTAGTATATTCCACCTTTTGCTAGTAAAACATTATGGGCAAGCTTGGATGTGCAAAGAGAGATTCAATACCATTCTCTGATCTAATCAACAAATACTCATACAGAGTTTTTTTAAAGTAACCAAGAAAAGGTTAAGAAGGAGGAAAGATTCTTCTGTATCCCAGGCATGGGCAGCTCTCCCTGCTATTCCTCACTGAAAGCAAAATACTCCTGTCTTACAAAATAAGCAGGGGTTTCTTAAGAGTTAGATTTTCCCTAACAACTTGAATACAACAGCATTCACTTGAGAGTGCCTAAAAAGAAAAGCTAAAAAATAACTCCTGTTCTAAGTAACACCCATAATTTGTTCTAAAAATCAGCTCTGGTTTGCAGCTCCCAGCACAGAAATTTAACATGACTGACCTTGTTGAAATCTCCCTGGGTAAGCAAGATAGCTCTAAAAAAAGAACACCAGGCCTTCACGATTAATTGCTAACTATTAATAAATTAGAATATTTCTCCCTCTTCTCCCAGACATACCTATAAATGTAGTTGCCCAACAGCTTTACCAGGAATGGAAATCTGAGTATTTCATGACATAGGCAGGAATAAGTAATGTCCATGAACTACTGAGAAAGGGAATAACTGAACCTGGAGTGCCATAATGAGCCCAAAGCAGACGCGTGATCCCCAGCCAGCTGAGTCTACAGCTCCAGTGACAAAGGCCAGACTGTAATGGAGCCTCACAACAACAGAGGCTGCTAACCACGAGCATGTCAAGCTGTCTTTACCATGCAAAATTTTGCTTGAAGTCACAACTCACACAAGCATGTGAAGCCTGGGGAAAAGGGGAAGAGGCAGATCAGGCTACAGCAAAGAAAGAGGAGGCACAGCAATGTTCTCTAAGACAACAGTGACATTTCTCACACAGGAGCTCTATGCCAAAAGCTGCTTTCCTCTTCCTCGCATCTTTTGAGGAAAGACCTAAGCTGAGGGGCTTCCAGTAGCCAGGGGCTTCTGAGACCAGAAAAAGTTTCACCATGCCATCAATTGTCATTATGTCAGTAAAATTAAGTCACTTTCATACAGTGTACTGCAAATGTGCTGCAACTTCTATGGCCACCCACCTGATGTGCAACAAGCTAATAACTCTAGGAATACCTTTTGAGGAACTCTCAAGAAATTCAGGCACACAAGAGAGTGCTCTGATATACAGGTGAGGACTTTGAGCCCCCAAGTATCCTACATCGCACAAAAGCGAGATCACAGGTCAACTATCCAGATGTTAGTCTGTTCCACAACAAGGATCAACTCAAAACAACACAGAGAAACAGACCCCAAAAACATCTTCTCAGCAGAGTTAGGAAACAGTGTGGACAATATTGTTTAAAGAGCATAAACTCCATGCCAGCCCAGGCACAAGTAAATCAACACAGCATCATAGGCAAATACATACCTTTTCATGGATGAATATGGCCCCTAAATACTATTTGAATTCATTGTGCTGTAAGAGAAACCTTAAACTACACCATCACTTCTTCCAGATAGAAATTAAGGTGGAGCTTACAGAAAAAAAAGTCAGATAGTTTTCAAACATTGATGCTGTCGCTAAAAAATTATCATATCCTTGGTCAAAACTTGAGAAATGCTTCACATACACAGAAAATCACTAGCAATAAAAGCACAAGTCTCTGCAGCTTCAGTTTAACTAGACCAGCTCTTATTAGCTGCATAGCCTGCTATTGCCAGTACAGCGCCCTGTGCCAGAAAAAACACCCTTGTTCACAAAAAATAGCAGCATTATAGTCTGAATTAGCAAGAGAAGACAAGCAACTGTGCTTTGTATCAGCTGTTGTTGGTAACAATGAACAGAGCACTTTTTATTTAAAACCTGACTACAAATATCTAAAAATATTTATGTTCAACTTATTACTTCTTGGTAGGTTCTATTTTAAATTCTAGATGAATGCTTCTTACAGCATTTACCAAGCACCGAACAAATCAAAATCTCAGAGTAAAACTCTTCAGAACAAGAGTTACCTTGTTTAGAAAAGTTACTGAAAAGCCATTTAGAAAAAAAAAAAAAAAAAAAAAAAAAAGGCAGGTTGACCAAAAGCAAATAAGCTGGCCAGCAGTGGTCATACAGCTCACTTTGGGATTTTGTTTTTGGGGGTTTGTTTCATGGAAAAGGGTAAGTTTCCATTATTCCTCTTGGTTTGGAAAAGTTATTTAAAAAAATTCATTTATCAAACTTTGATTGGAATGAGGAGGGGAAAAGAGGAAATGTTCCTGCACAAATATTCTCAGTTTCCCATTAAAATGGACTGAGTCAGACCACTCATTTCCACCATTCTCTACATTTTGCCAAGATATTTTTTATCATTGTATGATAAGTAAGAATCATTATCTGCAAAACCAATCTCCCCACTGAGAGCTGGCATCTCCCAGCAGTTTTTTACATCATGCTCCTAAAATACATCTCCATGGCACCACAGCACTAACTACTGGCAGCAGATATCACCAGCCAAATAATTTTTCCCAGAGTTCAACCAGTTCAGTTAAGACCATGGCATCTCTTCTCACAGAAGGCACGTGCAAGGAAACAAAGAGCATAAGCTCCCCTCCAATCACTTGTTTCATAAAACTAACCTTGAGAATTAAATGTAATATTCATAAGGTAAAATTAAATTAGTCTTGGTCAAACATGAAACCCAGTGCTTGTGAACTACGAAGTAAATAACTATTTCAGATTGAAAATAAACTATGAAACATTGTGCTAATAAGGCTGTTAGCTAGCTATTAAAATGTCTATTTTCATGTGCAGAGATGAAAGTACAACCATAAAGAAAAATTTTCCTCATGTCATTTCTTTATTACAGTCTTGTCATGGAGGGAGTGACATAAAATGACTCTGTGTACTAAACAAGTCAAACGCTTACCTAGAAACTGAAAAACAACAGCACAAACAAAAGTCACCAGCAGTCTTTAATTTATTCCTTTACATTTCAAAGTACACGTGTTTGCATTAGTCAGAAGATCCACCTCCCAACTACAGCCAGTCCTCAAATTATTCTGCATAACACTAATTGAGGGTCCAGCTGTAGAGTTACTTTTTCAAGGAACCTGCAAGTAAAATAAATTATGCAAGAAAGGAAGCCAAGCATGTTTAAGAATAATCAAGGCTTTTAAAATGATTAGCAGGTTTACTCTTTAATCTGGCAAGGTAGCAAACTTTCAGCACCCAAGAGAAAAAACACAATGAGGGAAAAGCTTTCTATAAATATTCCACATGCCAAAGCAAAAGGCTTATTTCATTGGAACAGTGCACTCCTGTTTAAAACAACACCAAGCATTAAAAAAGAGAGATCTTTCTGGGGATGTTATCTATATGTTAACGCATAACTTCACAGCACGTTCGTGCGGAATGCTCTCCTCACAAAGGCTGCTTGGACAGTCCCTCACTGGCACCGGCCCCTTCAGGCACATGTTCACGCTCAGGAGGGCTGGGAGTATCCATCTCTCGCTGTCTGCAAACACGAGTCTGTTTCCAAACTTGCCTGGGCCAAGCGCTGACCGCAGGCACGCAGTCCGAGCAGCAGGACGGTCCCGAGACACGGCAGCCATGGCTGCTGGGAGCAACGCCGCTCCTCACCCGGGAAAACCCGCACCTCAACAAACATCCCCAGCTCCTCATCAGCCTCAACTCCAGCTGAGCCTCTGAAAATACTTTATGTAACCAAAGAGGATCACGCTAAAACTTAATGCTGCGAGGAAAAAAANAGACGTACACTCCAGAAGTCGTAAATCCCTCACCTAACTCATAGTTCCACTTCCCTTTTGATTCATTCCCTGTAGAGCGGGAACTGCGACAGCAACACCCCCGTGGGCATTCGGAAAGCACTCGCAGGGTCCAAGCGGAGTTTGAGAACACGAAGTTGAAGCTGCCCTCGGAGGAAGCCCCGGTAACACCGAAATGCCCGCGGCAGGAGCGGGGCGCCCGCAGCCATCCCGCCCCCCGAGCCCCCCGGGCTGGGCGCAGGGGCAGCCGGGCTGCACACCGCGGTCCCGCCGAGGCTTTCGCTGCTAACAAACTGCGAACAAACCTCGAAGCAGAGGAGGATGTTTCTGCTGGCGGGAGAGGGAGAGACACAAGCGTACACCCGAGAGATGAGGGATGGGAGGGATGGACGGACAGACTGGCGGACGGAGGGGCCGCTATTCACTTCCCGGAGTGGGAGCCCAGCGCTCCAGTCCCATCACCGCTGAACAAGATAAAGAGCTCCTGCTTAGTTGAGCTAGCTTAAAAACTTTTCTCTTAACTTAGAAACCCGACGTTTTTTTCGAACCGTGAATGGATTTCGCTTGGGAAGCTGAAAGTTAACTTTCGCGGGACTTTTCCGACCTGAACGACTCTGTGGGTTGCACGATCCCACCTGCCCGAAGGAGCACGGTAACTCCCCTCTCCATGCGAGCGGGCTGGCCAGGACGAACACAGGGAGAAGAGAACTGAGACATGGGTAGATACTCCACTCCAGAGATATATATACATATATATATATACACACACATGTATATACATGGACCTCAAGTCAGCCACTCTCGCTGCAGAACTTTCTCTTTCCCAGTGTCAGAAAAAGAAAAAAACCAAAACAACACGGAAAATCCCGCACAAGCGGGCATGGAGGGCGCATGAAGCCGCCAGCTCCCGAGCCCCACGCCGGGGAGCCCCGGGGCTCGGCCGGGCCCGGCGCTGGCCACGGCCGCGCTCCCCCCGCCGCCCTCGCAGCCGCCCCGCCGGGCAGAGGAGCCACGGCGGCAGCGGAGCTCCCCCAGCGCCCCGACGGCATGGTCGGCTCTCTCTTACCCTTAGTCCAGTCCACCACTTGCTTCGGGCTCCACTTGGTCACCGGCTCCATGGCGGGTCCGAGCCCGCCGGCACCAGCCCCCGCGACACACCGCAGCTCCTCCGGCCACGGACTCACCCCCTCTCACGCTCCCATCCCAGCAGCGCCGCTCCGAGCCACCCCCTCCTCGGCCCGGCTCCTCCCGCCGGCCACGGGCCCGCCCCGCTGCCGCTCCGCCCCCAGGTGCCGTGTCCCGCCTGGGCCCGGCCGGCCTCGTGCTTGGAAAGTGACGAGAAAGAGGTTCCTGGGGTTCCCGCTCCGACAGGTCCGGAGAGACGGCGATTCAGGAGTCGCCCGGCATCCTTCCCCGGGAGCGGCGGGCGGGCCGTGGGGTGGAGCGGCGGCCGGGCGCTGCACCCCGCTTCGGTGGTGGCTCAGCGTGAGTCACAGCCTTGGGGCAATTTCAGCAGCAACTGCAGAGTGCCTTGTCCCCGTACTGACATTTGGGGTTTTTGTTTCTGAATCCCTCGCTTAAAAGCGTCCTTGGGTGTGGAGGCTGTTTCACCAGAAGAGTTTACTTTTGCTTCTTTCTCTTGGGAACTGCGTTAAGCCATCAGCTTCCTCACGGGAAATGTGTCTCTTGTGTCCTGGCCGCCTCCTGGAGCCCATGTAAGCCCCTAATGAGTGAGTGTCAGTCTCTTCTCAGAGGTTTAAGGGCTGACCTCCAGAACTGTGTGCCCAGCTCACCGGCCTCTGCCATTCCCTAGCACTGAGCACATAACTCGGCCTGGCAGACACTTTTCCGCGCAGCAAGGAAACATGAAGAAAGCACGAGTTTTTATTGTGTCTGTCAGAACACTGTCTGGTTCAGCAGCAAATTCCAGCCTTGAAGCCCTTTTGTAGCATGCACAAATGTCCCACTGCTCCTCTTCCTCAGTGAGGAAGAAACAGAGTAAACTCTGCTGCGACAACAAGAGTGTGAAATTTTAACTTGGCAATATTAGAGAGTGGGTAAGCAGCTGGGATTTGAGACTGTCCGGTTTCGCACAGTTTTCATGGTCTCCCATCTCGACCCATCTGTTATCCCCAGTCACGCAGCTGAAATGTAAGCTCTTTGGGACAGGAGTTGTCAGTTCCCTGCATGGCCCTGCAGCGCCCAGCTGTGCAGTGCCCAGCTTTTCCCACCGCGGCACAAGCAGCTGCCTTCTGGCACGCACTGCTGCAGATCTCTATTGGAGTCAGGAAGAGGTTTAGTTCTAGTTCTAGTTTGGGGAACCAATAGTTTAAAAAAAAAAGTGGGTATGCATATATATCTAAGAAGTATAATTTGTTCATTTTTTTTTTATTACAGGTGATTGAAGGTATATTTTTAGTTCTTTATTATACGGTTAATTCATTCTAGCTGATTTCTCTATTTGTTTTCCAATTTGTGAAATACAACGGCTGCCAGTTAACCTTTCTGCCCATTTGAAAGATTAATATGCACTTTCTCACAGCTTTAATATTGGTGCAACAACCAAAAGTTTCCTGATTCCCTACTGAATCATGTGCCATTCATGCTTAAAAAACAACAAAACAGCAGCTCTCCCCCCTGGCAGAGGCCTGAGTAAACAGATGGACCTTGCTATGTGTCCTGCTAATGGTTTCACGTGGGTTAATGTAACAGCACTTGTTTTAACTACACAGATGCTTCCCTAGGTTGCAGGCGGGATAGCAAATGTCTCTCGCCCTTGGTGTTTGGAACAGTCATCTGCTGTCATCCTTCTCTGTCACAGGTCTTGGACCAGTCCCTCTGCCTGATTTGGGTCAGATGAGCAGCATATTCTGTGAGGAAGGCATGCAGAGATGGTCACTTGCTAGCAGATTCAACAAATCCATTATTAATACTTAGTAATTTTTGTCATTTTCAAAGTGACAAATCTATTAATTTTTTTTTACAAGCAGGACAACATTGCAGTGCCTCTGTGTTCTTTTACTACATGATGTCCCCCAACATCAACTGGTTTACAGCCTGCTCTGGACAAATGAAATGGGGCTGACAGGGGAAAGCAGCATGTCTCCTGTTTCTCAGAAGGATCCTAGCCACATTGTTTACCCGTGCTACTCTTTTCAAGCCCAGATTGCAGCTGCCTTTGAGTTGATCTTTCTCATGATTGCATCACCTTAATCTGATCTTTATTGGAGATGAGATTAACTAGTAGTCCACTGGCATGATGCAATTAGAAGTTCTGTCTA